ACAAAGGTATTTCCCCGCCCTGACGGGTGTGTAAACTCTTAAACTCTGGGTGTCCTCCTGGCAAACCCGAAGGCCGCTGACTCAATCCCCAACCAGGGCACACGCCTGGGTTGCAGGCCAGGCCCCCCAGCTGGGATGTTGGCCAAATCAGTTAATTCCTTACAACCTAGTTCTCTCAGCTTTAAAATGGAAACAATACTACCAATCCAACCTATGGGGACAAAATGAGTATATAAAAGAGCTTAAAATGGTGCTCAGTGTATAGTAAATGCCTAACAAATGCTAGTTATAATTTTAATCACAAGCCTATAAAAGCAGGTACCATCATCACCAATTTATAGATGAAGAAACAGAACCTTAAAAAATCAGTAAACTTGCTCCAGCCAAGTGGCTCAGTTGGTTAGAGCATCACCCCAATATGCCACGGTTGCGGATTCGATTTCTGGTCAGGGCGCGTACAAGGACCAACCAATGAACGCATAAATAAGTGGAACAACAAGTCAACCTTTCTCTCTCTTTCTCTCTAAAAACAATAAATAAAAATTTTAAAGAGAGCTCAAGAAACTCATCCACAGTCAAAAACCCGTAAGGTTATAGAGCAATGATTCAAAAACTGTCTTGATTCCAGAGTCCATAATTTTTCCATTATGTCAATAAAACTATATTAAGACTTATTAACTATCAAAATTAAAATATCAGCCATGGCTGGTGTGGCTCAGTGGCTTGAGCATGGATGGGCCTGCGAACCAAAGGGTCACTGGTTCAATTCCTGATCAGGGCACGTGCCCTGAGCTGCGGACCAGGTCCCCAGTAGGGGGTGTGCAAGAGGCAACCACACATTGGTGTTTTCCTCCCTCTTTCTCCCTTACTTCCCCTCTCTCTGGAAATGAATAAACAAAACCTTAAAAAAAATATCAGTCTTACTTCAAAATAATATCCAGCACTATGTATTTTCATTGAGATTAATTTAGAACACTTAACTAAGTCAAGCCCGTTTCTGAATTAGGCTGACAGAGCATTTACATACGGACAGAGACAACTTTTTGGATACACTACTAAAGTATAGTGTATAGACACTAAGTGTCTATAGAACGTATAGACTATGTAAAGTATAGTGTGTAGTGTATAGACACTACAGCTTCTATACACTACTGAAGAGGCGGAACACAGACCGCAGTCCCCGAATTGTTTAATGCAGTGTACCGACGCAGCCTGCTGAAGTCAGCCCACGACACGGCCATCGGCACCAGAGGGCAACACGGGGCTGAGATGAACGTCACCTCGCACTTTCTCTCAGTATCTCCTTCTCGCTCCCAGGCCACTGTCTTACAAAGGATAGGTTCCGTCCCCAGGCCCCAGAAGGGCTCTGTGGACCCCTCTGATTTCGTCAGCTTGCTGGCGCCTCACACCCAAGTTCCTCCTGACCCACAAGCACCTTACACGTACTCTTCACTGCCCGGCTGCCACACAAAATCGTTAACCTTTCTTGTTTAAACTTTGCTCTTCCCAGCAGTCCTTATTAGGATTACCAAGGACGCCTCTATACCGTTCTCTGAAGCCATGTCACTGAAGTCACTATTAGTGGCTTTTCAACATTTCATATACTGTTGACATGTTCTTCAATCTGGACTTTAAACACACTCAGCCCTGGCTGGTGCCAGTCTGTGAACCAAAGGGTCGCCAGTTCGATTCCCAGTCAGGGCACATGCCTAGGCTGCAGGCCAGGTTCCCAGTAGGGGATGCACGAGAGGTAACCGCACATTGATGTTTCTCTCTTGGGTTCAATTCCCAGTCAGGGCACATGCCTGGGCTGCAGGCCAGGTTCCCAGTAGGGGGTGCACGAGAGGTAACCACACATTGATTGTTTCTCTCTCCCTCTCTTCCCCTGTCTAAAAATAAATAAACTCTCAAAAAAACCCACTCATTTCAGAGTTGGGAGGAAGTCAGAGCAGGGGCAGAATGGCTAGGACCTATATAATTGTACAGTCCCAAGAAATGAGAATTGGAGAAGTCCTGGAAATTTTAGGACTCTTGTGGTTTCACAAATCACACTGGGAGTTGAAGAACTCGGTAAAATCTTTAACATCTCTCAGATTCTACAAAGAGTTTGGTCATTGGGGCCCTTTTCATCTTTTTGGGCTTCAGATTACTCCTTTAGATTTTTAACCTTTTCCCCTGCCCTTTTATAGTTCGGTTGTCTCTCTGAACACAGTCCTCATCAAAAAGACTGAGTGCTGTCCACCACGTTCATTTTGAGTAAATAGTTTAAGTAACTCCACCCCCAAATTGCTCTAGGGAGGGAAAGAAGAGGCTGGGGATCTTGGCTATTTAGGACCCAAAGTCCGACTATCTCCATGTAACTTTACTCGTCTCCTATAAATAACTAGCTTCACCTGCTTCCTCCACCCCGAACTCTCCTACCTGTTCCCCGAGGGAAAAAGGAGAAGCAGCGCAGCACTCCTATTCAGAAACTGCAGGTTCCACTCTTCTCTCGCATCGTGCTGACGGACCCCTGACCGCGAACTCCAGGTGCTGCCAACGCACGTCACTCAAAAACCATCCCCAAATCTCCAGTGTCTCCCCTCGGTCAACCGAAGGGGGAAAGTCCCTCTGGCGTCCTTATTTAGTTCTTACCTTCTTTTCCAGGCTTTTCTCCTGCAGTAGCTCTGCACAGTCCGCTCCAGTCCCACAGAAACCTTCTTCCGGACTACTGACCCCCACCCTCCTGCCTCCCCGTTCACTCCAAAAACCTCTCGTTGGGAAAACATTCCTGGGATTTGTTTCCTTCAAACTACACACAGCTTGCTCAAAATCGTTTTATGGGAATTATGTATTATTTGCTTGCGCATTTCTTGCACATGCACCTTATAAATTACCGGAGACAAGTTCTGTGGGTCTTAGCTTTGTTCTCCCTCACACTGCTTATTCGCACAGGGCCTTGCACACACTAAGCTCTCAAACACAGTTGCCAAACTGAAGATGGCCTTTCCTAGGATTTTTTTTATCCTCACCCAAGGACATTTCTCCATTGCTTTCGGAGAAAGAGGGAGAGAGAAGCACCCATGTGAGAGAGAAACATGGACTGGTCGCCTCCTATACACGCCTGGACCAGGGGTAGAACCCACAACCTCGGTTTGGGTCCTGACCGGGAATCACACCCGCATCTTTCAGTTTTGGGATCACCCTCTGACCACCTGAGCCACATGGGCCAGGGCCCTGGAATTTCTTCTTTAAGAGGTTGGCCATTAAGTCACAATTAGACTCAAGCCATTTTACCAATAAAAAATTTTTATGCCTCCAATTAATCAAGTGCAAACTCTTCTGTTGCACTTAGTATAAAAAAAAATAAATGTGTCCTAATTTCAAGGGTTCTCTCGTATTGAAATGGTTTCTATGAAAGGTCTACTCTAACATACCTGGTCTCGCCTTCAAGTAACTCAGCAATTAAACAAAACTCTCCTCCACTTACACCATCATAAAAACTGAAATTTACAAGAGCCACAGGTTAAAACAAATATTTCTTCGGCTCAGAGTTAACTTGCTACAGAACAGGAAAAATCTGGTGGTAATCTGGAATTACCACAGGGTTAAGTAACAAACTGCAAGTAATCCCTGAACAGAGAGAGACCGAACTGCGCCGTGTGAACTCCCCTCGTATCTAGAGAAGCTTCTCATTAACGTCCGGGCATTGCTGTCTGCTACTGAAGTCTGCCATCACTGTGAAGCTGGCGTATTTCTTGAACACAAGCAATTCCGTTTCAAAAAGGTGTTCTAAGCGCCGCCTCTGCGCCAGGCAGGGCGTGGGGCTCAGCAGACATCAAGGACTACACCTGAGGCAAACCGTCTCTGCACAAAGTTTTCTGCACTTGAGGCACGCTCTGCATCGCTTTTTTGCCCCCCTTTACCAGCTACCTCCAGCAGGCAAGGTTTTGTTCAGAGCCCGTGTTATTTATTGTACTGGAAAAATAGGTTAAAGAAGTAAAAAAAAAATACAGAATAAACTCCCGCCTCACCAATCTGATGGGACCAGGAAGAGAGGGTCGGAGGGGAAGAGGCACCACCCTCTCCGCCCCCGGACAACCCCCCATCTGGCATGTGGGTCCTTTCGAGCCCCCCAAATAAACTTCGGTGAGGAGCAAACACCTCAAGCATCAGTGCGCCTCCTGTGAAAGGGGCACGCACAAAAAAGGCAACTGCACGGTTCTCGTTTTACCGGCAGAAACGACTCTGCAGCATTAGAACCCTTACAGACAGTCCAGGACAGAATGCTGACATTTAAATTAAAAACTTATCTGTGATCAAAAGACCTACGCAATGACAAAGCTAAAAACGTGTTTCGCTCTAAGAGTGAATCAGAGCGGCCCCTACTCCACCCCAGCAGCCGCACCGCCAGGCCTGGACGGTTCAGACGCGGGGAGTGGCCCTGCGACCCCACCTGTGACCCCATAGCCCTCGAGGTCTTAGGTCTTCAGTCCCGGGCATGAGTGTCATTACACCCTGAAATGTACCCGGGTATTCTGTCCTTTAGATTTAGCCGTGCCTTCCTCACATGCGCCCGACTTCCCCCCTCCCTCCTTTTTCAGAGGAAAAGGCTCAACAGATCCCCTTACTTGAAGAGTGAAGCGTCTGTTCAGATTCTCAAAGTCAACCTCCATCCCTCGGTTTCGGAGGGAAACCTAATACATACATCGTGTCCCAGGGAACCGAAGCCCGGAGCCCTCGAACTGATTTCGGATGTTTCCAAGTTACACTGCACGGCAGCAACCTGGGAAAAGACCTCCTCACCCTGGAAAAGCGGCTTCTGAGTCTCAAGTGCAAGAGCACACGAAGGAGGTCAAGGCTCCCTCCTCCAACCCTCTCCGCCGGCCGGCCGGCCGACGGCCAGGCCGGCCCCAGCCCGCGTGTCTTCCCGTCCCCGGGGCACTCTCGGTGGGCAGACCTCACACCCGGGAGCTTCGGTGGCCCCGGCGCGGCCCTCCCCCCGGCTCCCGCGGACTCACCAGGACCGTGGTGCAGATGGACCGCAGCTCCGACTCCACTTTCTCCCGGTAGTCCTTAATCAGCTGCAACTTCTTGTCCGAGGTGTCGGTTTTCTGCTCGATGCTCGAGATGACCCTCCAGGCGGACCGGCGGCCCCCGACCACGTTCTTGTAGGCCACCGACAGCAGGTTGCGCTCCTCGTTGGATAGCTCGGCGCCCTGCTCCGTCACGGCCTTCATGCAGGTGGCCATGTCGTCGTAGCGCTCGGCCTGCTCGGCCAGCTTCGCCTTCTGGATCAGCTCCGTTTTCTCCATGGGGACGGGGAGGGCAGCGAGGGCGAGCACCGAGCGGATCGGAGGAGGCGTGCGGAGCTCCGGCTGCGGGCTGCGGGCTGCGGGCGGCGGGCGCGGGCAGAGAGGCGGGGCGGCGCCGTCAGACAATGCGCCCGTCGCCCCAGCCACCCGCCGCCGCCGCCGCCCCTTTTGTCTGTCCCCGCACGCGCGGCCCGGTTGAATTTCCCTCCCCCGCCCACGCTCCCCGCGGGGCGCCCGGGATGCCGAGGGGTTCAGGCGGAGGCGACCGAGGCGGGAGGAGGAGGAGGAGGAACGGCCGCTCCCGCGCCCGCCCGGCCCAACATGGAAGCGGCCGTTGGCTCACACCTTCCCGCCGGAGCCGTCCCTAAGGAGAGCGGCGTCGGGGCCTGCCGCTGCCTGGGGCCAGCCTCGCGCCGCTCTCGAGTCCGGCCCGGCCCGCGAAGGGCTGCGGACGACCCCGGAGCTCACCTTCACGTCTCCACGGCCGCGGCGCGAGTACCACCACTTTGATCCGCTTTGGGCTTTAGCCGAGGACCCTCCCGTCTCAGCCTACCCCGGAGCCGAGGGGCGGGCCACCAGGCGACTGCCCTCGCTCCCACCGCCCAATGACACGCGGAGCTGGTCCTGAACGTCCCGCCTCCTGCCCCGAGGCTGGCCAATGAGACCTGAGCGCGCGGAAGGGGGCAAAGGGGGGCGGGACGGGCGGGGAAGCGGAGGCTAGGAGGGTGGGTCGGCTTGGGCAAGTTCGGTTGGCCGGCAGGCTGCGGCTTTGGCCACGGGGTTTCCTCCAATTAGATCCAGGGTAAAAGGACGTCACTGTTGCCATTGCGATGCTGTTACCGACTCCCCTCATCCTCCCCGCCATCCCCAGCCCGGGTGGGTGCGGCCCGGGAGCCGGAGGCTCGCACGACCTCGCCTGCGGTGGCCGCGTCTCCTGCCGCAGCATTGGTGCAGATGGTGCATCGCATCTTTGCACTACTGCAGCTGCGGCTGCACTCGGCCCTAGCGAGGCCCGGCCTGCGAGTGTGACACAGCCGGCTGTTGAGTTGCACAAGCGCCTTTCTTTCCTCCACCTTCCTATTCGTGACAAAGGTTTGGAGCTCAATCCACTGAACCCAGCCTTTAATGACGTTACAATTGGGGCTGCGAATCAGAAATAATCCCATCCTCATTAAAGAAGAATTAGCTCCTGGAGAAAGTGGCTTATGGGTGGCTTTTACATGATAAATTCAAGTTTTCAGACAGGCACCTAAAACTTGAAATTACCCTGTAGAACACCCCCAAAAGTCCAGGCAGGTCTTTCTGATAATGCCAGATGTCATCATTTTCTTTAAAATGAGAAATGACCAAAAAAAAAAAAAGCAACTGTTTTCATATTTCTTTCTAGCCTTTCCAGGTTTTTCATCTACATACATACTTCTCATATCATGGTCTCTGTGTACACACTTTTATTTTCTGGTATTATATTTTTCAGAGGACCACTGAGAAGCTCAATTTCTCTCACTCGATGTTGACTTCTGACTCCTAGTGAACGCCCTTCTGAGGAGAGAAAGATCGCCCCCATGCCTTTTATTTAAGGTCTTTGCCGGCACTTTCTCTCTGAACTAGATGCTCCCCTCCAGCCACTGGCTTCTCTGCTGGCCCTTCCCCAGTGCCTTACTCCAAGTAAGGTGGCCGTCCTGGGTGTCTGGAAAGTGGCCTGTGGATCATCATAAGGCGAAAATCACTCTCTGGGCTCACACTGCCACGATTCCAGTTCTAGCACACCCCAGGGAGAACGGATCGCTGAAAGCAAAGGATGCCGCAGCCGAGAACGAATGTCGGCTTCTCAGCGGAGACCCGAGCAGGTCTGGAGACTCTCGGGCACGGAGGATCTGAGAATGCACACAGATAGCAAGAGGTGCTGACTTTCCAGAAATCCACACTCACTCCCAGCTGCCCCTCCCTGTCCTGCCTTGTAAAGGTTGCTTTGTGCTGTGACGGACAGGAGAGGCCTGGGCTGGAAAGGGCCTGTGTCTTAATGCAGAAATGCCTCACTATGTTCTAGCATTCTAACCGAGGGCCCTGCTGTTATTTCTGGAATCCCTGGGGCCGGGCCACAGACACACGAGTGTTTATGGCCATGTGGGCTGGGGTGGAGCTGGACATCAAGAAATCCCATTGGAAAGAATTCACATGTGGAAGGTCAGATAAAATGCTTTCTGTATGACCAATGAATTTCAAGCTTACCAGAATTAGAGACAATTCAGGCCGGGGAGAAACCAGTGGGGATAGATGGGGGGTAGTGACTCTTGAGGGGGACTGTTAGGGGACTGAACCTCCGAGACAGGGAGGGAGCGAAGGGGCAAGCACACTAATCCTTTGTTTGAATGTCCCGGCTGACCTTCGGCCATCTCCCCAGGTGACCTTGGGCAAGGTGTTCCTGCTGCTGGTAACTCAGTCTCTAAAATGTCTGCTTTCACCCGGTTATCAAATATTTATTGAACACTAACTCATGTAGCTACGGTCATCTGGATTCATGGGTGAAAAGTGCGGGGAAACAATGGCTCCCTGTGAGACTGTTAAGTGTTTTATGAGAGCCCAGAGGGGTGAGCTCATATCTAAACTCCTCTGCACCCGAAAGAACGCGGGCCAAGAAAATGAAACCTCTGGGAAGTCCCTGGACACGTAACGAGCTAACATGTATGGAATGATTTCCTATGTCAGACACCATGCTGCGTCTTTTGCAAGTACCTGTGAACGCATTTCAACGGCCTGGTGGCACAGTGAAGTAGGAACTAGTATGATCCTCGTTATGCCCATTTCACAGGTCAGAAAACTGAGGCACAGGCAGGGGAGGCATCATGTCAGAGTCGCACAGCTGGTGAGTTGGGGAGCCTGGATGTGACCCCGTGTGCAGGGCCTCCGCACCGAAGCCCACCCACGGAACCGCTCTGCCACAGCTTTGCTCTGTGTAGTAGGGACGCTCGGAAAGACCAGACCAGCCTCTCTCCTATAGGAGTTTCATCCTAGTAAAAATGAAATGTGTTAAACAGGCACATCCCATGTGACGGGAAGACCTCAAGGGAACAGACAGCTAACAGGGGAAAAACTGAGAATCTACTGCTTTATTTATTTGAGGCTCCTGTGTTGTTTTGTTTTTCTAAATTATTTGGTGAGAAGGACCTGCTGGAGCAGGAGGGAATGCTCTGAACCTGAAGCCGGAAGATCCCAAATCCCTGTCCTGCTGTTACTTTGTGGTGTGGTCTTACACACCACGAGTGTCCCTGGGCCTCAGTCTCCTAACCTGTGTGATCATCCCCACCTCCAAGGGGCTGTGGGGCTGTCACGTAGGAAAAAGCTGGGCCTATAACAAGTGTTCAGTAAATACCAGTTTTTTTCTTCTCGCCCTCTGCTTGGGGTGCCAGGGGAGGGAGGGAGAGGCCGGGGGTGCTGCAGGGGGACCCTGCAGCCTTATACACCGTGGGTGAAGGCTTACCTCCTGAGTCGTCGTGGTAATTAGTGGAGTTAATGGTCTGTGGAACGGCCAACTTCAGCGTGCATTTCAGAATGAATGAGTCCTCCTGGCTGAGTTTACCCTCATAAATTGTTTCAGTGGTTTATTTGCCCAGAGCAGTAGGTCATCCGGGAGGAGCTTCTTCCTCTCCTGCCATATGGCAGGTAGTATTTCACCGAGAAACGAACATTGCATGGGGCTTTTCACCGCAAAGCCCCGTATCATTTTCTCAGGACTTCGGTTTAGCCAGTCGTTGAAGAGACGCCCCCACCATCCTCCCCGCCTGGGAGAGATTCGTGGAAGCCGGGTCAAGTGAGGCCCACAGCGGGGGGCTTGGTCGAGAGCACCTTCGTGCACATTTCCTGGCTTAGGGCTTGGCCCAGGCCGGTAGAGTTGCCGCCTGCGGTGGGCGAGGTCGGTTCTCACGACCTGCAGCGACGCTCTGTGGCCAGGGTCACAGCCTCCCCGGCACCTCCTGCCCCCCACCACTCTCCAGTTCCCCGCTGCACGCTCTCAGGAAAAAGTCAAGTCGAAATCACCCCATCCTTAAAAAACAGACCAGTCTTCAAGCGATAGTCCCTCTGCCACGATCTTCATTTTAAGAGGACAGAAAGCTCTTACATTGGAAAACTAACATTTCACGGGTAGAATCTCAGGCTTTCTGACTCAGCTTTTGGGCAGCCCGGCTCTTGGGGAAGGGCTCCGGTGTTCCGACATTTCTCCGGCATCTGCTGTAGGCGGGCCATGGAGGGTTTTTTAAAAGTCTGGCTGCGCTCTGGCTGGCGTAGCTCAGTGGATTGAGCACGGGCTGCGAACCAAAGAGCCGCAGGTTCGATTCCCAGTCAGGGCCCATGCCTGGGTTGCAGGCCACGGCCCCCAGCAACCGCACATTGATGTTTCTCTCTCTCTCTCTCTCTCTCTTTCTCCCTCCCTTCCTTCTCTGAAAATAAATAAATAAAATCTTTAAAAAATACAACTATGCTAAAAAAAAAGAGTAACTACATGAAAATTCTTAAAAAAAAGTCTGGCTGCTTTTGTAAAGATGGCAGGGATGATGATGATGATGATGATGATGATGCTGATAGAAGGTGAAATATCCCCCATCGTACGGAAAAGTGAAACCATGGGTCGACGTGGACAGGAGAGTAAGAAGACCGCGAGAGCCTGCCTCTGAGAGGTGACCCCTCCTAGATGTGTCTCTTTTCATTTGGACACTTGTGAGTGGTCCTACATACGTGCGATGTCATTCTTCCCTTTGTTCAGTGTAATGATTAATTTTATGTGCCACCGTGGCTGGGCCACAGGGTGCCTCGCTGTTTGATCGAACATTACTCTGGGTGTTTCCGTGAGGGTGTTTGGGGAGGAGGTTCACGTTTACACCGGTGGACTGGGAGGACGCAGGTGGCCCTCCGGAACACGGGGAGCCACATCCCGCCCGCGGGAGGCCAGAGAAGAACACGGAGACGGGGCTTGCCCCCGGCAGACGGCGCTCTCCAGCAGACGACCCGTGGGCTTCTTCACCTGCGCCTCGAGCTCTTCCTGCGTCCACGACAGCATCCAGGGGAACGTCGGCTCTCCTGGGTCTCCAGCCTGCAGGCCCACCTTCCACATTGGATTTGCCAATTCCTTACAATATCTGTCTATCTATCTATCTATTTATCTATCTATCTCCTATTCTGTTTCTCTAGAGAAACTTGGTTAATACTTTTTTAAAGATTTTATTTATTTATTTTTAGAGAGGGAAGGGAGGGAGAAAGAGAGAGAGAGAGAGAAACATCAATGTGTGGTTGCTGGGGGCCGTGGCCTGCAACCCAGGCATGTGCCCTGACTGGGAATCGAACCTGTGATACTTTGGTTTGCAGCCCGAGCTCAATCCATTGAGCTATGCCAGCCAGGGCGAAACTTGGCTAATACTTGAAGCACATTTTGAGTTTGTTTCATTCAACAAATGATATGACATCTTTTCATAGCTTTCGGCGTACGTGCATGATACCCAGTCTCTCCTCTCTCCCCCGCCAGCCTGCGCGCTTCCTGTGGGGAGGGGTCCCCTTTTGAGCCGTGTGTTCCCAGAGTCCTCTCGACAACAGCTAGCATTACAGTCCGCACCG